GGACCAAAATTACGCTGGAAGTAGGAACTCTGTTTAAGATAATAACGTACCATCAGAAAGAGATTTTTGTCATGCTTTGAATGGAACAAGTTTGAAGAAAATGGTGCAGTATGAGACTCGTAACCTAATCCTTGATTTTCAAATATCCGGTAGGTCAAAAATTCAAATTAACGGTCGAAGTTAGGACCGCGTGGCAGTTATATCAAGTGACAACGTACTAACGACGAACAGGACGTGGGGCAAAGGTTGAACTGTCTCAGAATGTATTGGGAACGAGGTAGAACGAGTCATGCAAGATACTAAAGAGATACAAATGCATTTTGATACTCAGTTTTTGGGCAATTAAAACTCCCTGTCTGCATTGAGTATAGTTATTTATTGTCCGGTGTATAATTTTGAAACATTATCCTAATTTTTCACAAAACTTTTTTTGATTCTGCAATAGTTAATGGTTGACATCTATGGCACACTAAAAACGAATTTTTTTTATGCAGGGTACGTACATGATGATGATACAGATCAAATCTTGGCTCTACTACAAACTATTACACGCTTACTTCAACAGTTCAATATATCGCAAAACACAGTTTTGATTTTGAACAATATCACCAATGGGAGAAACTCTTAAATCTAAATGTTTGGAAAGGAATACGTTTCTACTAAAACATACAAACCTCTTATATTATGATGAAAAAAGGATAGACATCTGATATATAAGCCTATATATGCCACATATATAAGTTATACGAAATGAGCATATTTTATTGATTTATCGAAAATTTGGACGAAATCTTAACAATGGGTGGTACTGAACAACCAAAATCTTCTTTTATTTTTAGATATTTTTCAAGGTAGAAATATTATCAATTGATATTGGAAAACATAATTAACCATATTTTATTGAGAAAAGGGAATGAAAAAAATTATCAAATGAATATATATAATTGTCACGGACGTCCATACGTTATTTTAATGAGATAGATATTCCTTTCGCCAGAATATTCTCTTCGACTGTGATAATTGTCTAAAATGTTGGCGGCAGTCTTGAATTTTCACCAAGAAGGAGTGCGATTCGTGCTGGACAATGCGGTTCAAAATTTGTAGAATGTCCATATAAGTCTATGTGCCGAGAATCTAGTAAGAATATATATATGATCGTGAACTTTCGGACCGATGTCAACGTGATACCAATGTTATGCTGTCCTGATTCGCGAGGTTGCGACAAGATTCGTTACTAAGACATTTAATTTTTTAATTTTCGGAGAACTGGGTTTCGGAGAACTGGGTTTCGGACAACTGGGTTTCGGAGAACTGGGTTTCGGACAACTGGGTTTCGGAGAACTGGGTTTCGGACAACTGGGTTGACCCCCATGAATTCATCACTTTCTACAAGTATGTGTTTATTTATTGATTTCACTTCATTTGGTATTATTCCAGAGAAATTTCTTGTTATCATTCTAGATTTGCCTCTATTTTCAGTAATCTTTCTCATCTTCATCTCTTCTTCTTCATGATGTTCTACAAGGTGGTTTATAATGATTTGAAATTTAGGAGTTCGTAATGAAGGACAGTAAAATCATGTAAACCCAACCACTCTGAAATGCAAAGAACATATCATTAGAATCCACATGGTAAAATCACCCACTTGGCTGATCATAAATTGTTTTCATAACATCCTTCTTACTCGATACTGAAGGGGAGTTGGAACGTCTGATATGCATGTAATGTTAAGTATTATGTATATTAACCATAACAGGTCTGTCAACTGTCCCGCAATTTGCGTATTTGTCACGCATTTGCTGAAGAATTTGAAGTCACACCAGTTATTTTTGCGTGACAGAAAATGTCACGCAAATACGCATTTTACCTGGTAATTGTCAAGCAAAAATATTTCTGTAGAAAAATTTCTAAAAAAGATCGTCTACACAGCAAAAATACGAACGCCGGAAAAAAAATGTACGCATTTCGTTCGAACTTTTCACGCGAATTACGTATATGTCACGCATTCCGTTCGAAATTTTTGGTACCTACCCCCCCCCCCCCCCCCCCCCCGAGCGCGAAAAATTTGAGGTGTTCAAAATTTGGCAAGATGTAATGAAATTTAAACCAAGGTGTTCAAAATTTGGATCAAGGTGTTCAGATTTGGACCAAGGTGTCCACATTTTGAGGGGAGGTGTTCAACATTTCCAAGTCACTCATGTTAGGTGTTCCCAAGTTGACAGGCCTGCCATAAGCATGTTGGTTTTGTGGTTTTGGTAATCTAAAAACAGAAAATTTGGTGAAATATACATTTTCATTCGGCGGGTTTTTTGATTTTGCTTCATTTATTAACTCAGTTCAGGTATTTCGGTTGAACCAATCACCGAATCCTGTTACCAAATGAATCTTGAGTCTCTTATACAGCATATGGAATACCATCTGTAGGTAAAATGTCATTAAGGTGGTAAAGAAAAGAGAAACAAACATACCTTTCCTCCGACATTTCGATCGAATTTTCCGCATCTTGTCGAGTCTTTGATCACGCACTTTTAATAGTAGGCGATCACTGTACATACAGTGAGGTGACACACTGTTATGGGAACTGGTCATATCAGATGTTCCCACGCTTTTCGTCCAGAAGAGGTCATTTCCCAGGATTATAGATGAACCCTTGGCCAATCAATGATATAGTTTACATAAGAGAAGTATGACTGTATGAATTCTGGGATATTCCTGTTTTGTTGAGACAGGTGAGAATAAAATTAACCCTTTGCAAATTTGATCAATACTGCCTCCAATCATCCAATACTTGGCTCAGTTAAAATAGTTGATTTATATTTGAATTCGATAATAACATTTAAAAATTAAATGTGTAGTAGTAATACTTTAGTACCTCTTATTAATTAATGTATAATATTACAACATACATAATGATGTAGGCAATTTGTTTCATAAAAATCTAAAAGTAAAATTCATAATTTAAATTTACATCTGATATCTGGTCATATCAGATGTTCCCACGCTTTTCGTCCAGAAGAGGTCATTTCCCAGGATTATAGATGAACCCTTGGCCAATCAATGATATAGTTTACATAAGAGAAGTATGACTGTATGAATTCTGGGATATTCCTGTTTTGTTGAGACAGGTGAGAATAAAATTAACCCTTTGCAAATTTGATTATTAATTAATGTATAATATTACAACATACAAATTAATTATTAATTAATGTATAATATTACAACATACATAATGATGTAGGCAATTTGTTTCATAAAAATCTAAAAGTAAAATTCATAATTTAAATTTACCCTCTGGGAGCCCCAAAATTTTAGAAAATGCATTTTCTTGGTGATGTATTTTCTAAACTACCATATTAGACTCAAATTTAAGGAATTTAAATTAGAAATTCTGATAGATCCCTAATGTATGTCTTATAATCGTTTTATCTGCCAATATTTAATCAAGAGTGAAGTCGATGGTAAATATTACATTGTGCCATATACAGTACAGTGTCATGGATATAGTGTTTGTTGGGATTTGCTACTCTGTGGAGTTGCTGATTTCTCGTAAACAAAGACCCAGTAACGGTGGCTACCTTCTCCCAATGCCGTCTCTATATTCTGGCCTTGTACCAACAATATAGAACTTTACTTCTGTTAATTCTTTCATTAATTTACATTTGATTTATTGCTAATAATGAATAGAATTATGATAACAGAATTATGATAAATATACTTTCATCGAGGTTTTGAGCAGTGATCTCCATCTACATCACTGTTGTTATCTATGCTTTTTTGAGAGCGAGCGTAGTGCTGCCCTGTCAACCCTCACGCATTAGGTGTGATCATCACGCATTAGCTGAAAAAATTGAAATCACTCATCAATTTTGCGTGCACGATGAAGTGTCACGCAAATCACGCATTATGTTGATGTTTAAAAATCTGATTTTTATAAATCTCCGATACGGTAAAAATACGAACACCGAGAAAGCGAACGCATTACGTTTGGACTTTTCACGCAAATCCTACAATGTCACGCATTTGGTTCGAAATATATGTTAATGTCACGCATTTGTTTCGAAAACTTCACACATATAAAGATATACTCATGATCTAGTCAAATCGACATATATGGTAAAAATCAGAATCTGACCCATAGATTGCATAATAGAAGCGATAATCATTTCAGCTCAGAACTGCCAAGTGTTTGCCATTTCATTTCTTCATCATGGCCAATATTATTTTAATATGACGTCATACCAATTGATAAGACAAAATACATGACATCAGTATCCATAAACATAAGTGTTTTAAAAGAAATTCCCTCAAATCCTATCAAACCATTTAGAAAATTATAATATTTTCCCAGGAATAAATTTGAACTTTTAGTGTTTGCTATGACAAAACGGCCTCTACTGGACCGCCATATTACTCTCCATATGTGAATCAACTTATTGCTTATATATTTCGCTCAATTGAATTAGTCATTTATAAAACTAAGCACATGTTGTCTCACTAGGCTTTTAGACTCCGGAGAATCTCTGGAGTCTTATGTCTTTAGACCCTCTTGATCCAGAGTCTAATAGCTTTTCTGGAGTCTAAGGTGTTTTTTCGGAGTCTAATTTTGCATTTTCATCACATTATTTAAAGTAAAACTTTTGAGAAAATACATTAAACTGGATACAAACAAGGAATAGGAAGTCAGAAACCTTTTAGAAATGTATATTGTAATTAAATAGGAAGATAATCGTAGTAGTATTTTGAAAAGTAGGATACCGCGAAAAAATCCGGTGTCTAAAAAATTCCTGGTGAGAACCCTGTGTTGTAAACTAAATGGTGTTCTATCAGAATGCTTCAATGTTTTATAGCAATCAGATGTTGAATTTAAGAAATCAGAGTTTGCAAAAAATTGCGGGCATTTCATTTTCAAAACGAAAGTGATAGTTACAATTCATCAGCTATATGTATTTTGTCTTATACGTGGTAATTGTTGGATTCATTTTGTCTTTGTTGCATTTCAGACATAAAGAATATCATGGCAATATACTATGGAAGATCAAATCCACCAAAGGTATGTACTGTAGTCTTGATTTAACCCCTACATCCCATATACAGTAAAACCTGTCTTAGTGAACACCTCTCTAGAACATCTAAATTTAATATTTAGGCCTTCCCTAGTGAACACAAGACACATTTTTGCATTGGTTGCTGTATTAATTAATATCCCATCGAACAAAGTTCGAAGGGATATAGGGAGCGCCTCCGTCCGTCCGTCCGTCTGTCCGTCCTTCCGTCCATCCTTCCTTCCGTCCGTCCGTCCGTCCGTCCGTCCGTCCGTCCGTCCGTATTCGTATATATACAAGTGTACTGTGGCCCAATTTTGTTCATATTTTGTACACGTTTGCCCTATGGGGGTAGAAGTTCTGCTCGAAAGCTGATTTTCAAAATGGCTGCTCATTTAAAAATGGCAGCCATTTTAGTGCCGATTTTACAGTAATTTAGGTGCAATAAGTTAAACTGTAAAAGCAATATGTTCTAAATGTAAAAGAAATTATATAGGACATTAATAAAGCTAAAACCTTTACTAGTTATTTTATGATTTTTGCTGCAACTCAAAAAGTAGTGGAGCGATTTTGTTCATATTTGGTATGTGAATACTATAAGCATGGCACACTGTCTAATGACATTTTGGTAGAAGGAGGCCATTTTGAAAAATGGCCACCATTCTAACGTATTTTACTATTACTCGAAAAGTAGAGAAGCGATATTTGGTATGTGAATACTAAAAGCATGGCACACTGTCTAATGACACTTTTGTTAGAAGGTGGCCATTTTAAAAAATGGCTGCCATTTTTGCTATATACTTTGTTTGTAAAAATGCCAGCCATGGCTGTTCGATGGGATTTGATACGCTTTGGCGTTGCTGTTGTCTAGTTCCACTCCCTGTAGTGTACATCTACCAGCCTATAGTGAACATGTTTTGTGTCTACATTATATACAGGTTTTACTGTATATATTCCATAGAAAGTCATATATCCCACTCCGAGACCTCCCTCTGAATTTCAGAGCAATAATTTTACTTTGTTGAAAATAATGTTAAATTCTGACTTACATTGTGTTAAGATACATGGCTAAGGTGTAAAATGAAACATATTTGGTGCAGAATACAGCTAACTTTTTGTGAACAGGGCACAGTATTACCAGAAATTCACGAAAAAGGTTGGTGACTCCGAGGATCTTTCAGGAACTTCTTACAGGGGTCTAAAAACATGTCACAAAAGGTGTCAATATTATTCTGTTGTAATATGCTTTATAGTGGCATGTCTCATTTATGAAGAAATTCAAACATTTAGAAAATAAGATTGATTATAGTACTAAGTACCAATTTGTCATAATTGGATATAATTTAATTTCTTGTTACAGTTTGTAACATTTTGTAACCTATGTTACTTGAAACTTACTTTGGAGAAAATTTCACAAATTGAATCATTCACATTTCCGAGGTGTCTTATTAAACAAATCTGTGCAGATTAAGCCAATACTTAAGTTATGTATGTTTTAGTAAACTTAATGAAAGATGTTACCAGAAATGGGGAAAAGGGGTCTGACCCCTAGGGTCTCAAAACAAACATGCCAAAATTAAAATTATATTTCATTTGGTAAGTGGAATTGCCTATCTTGTTCCATGACTATAGTCCTAAGTAGAATTGCTTATCTTGTTCCATGACTATAGTCGTAAGTAGAATTGCTTATCTTGTTCCATGACTACAGTCGTAAGTAGAATTGCTTATCTTGTTCCATGACTACAGTCGTAAGTAGAACTGCTTATCTTGTTCCATGACTACAGTCCTAAGTAGAATTGCTTATCTTGTTCCATGACTACAGTCCTAAGTAGAACTGCTTATCTTGTTCCATGACTACAGTCCTAAGTTGAATTGCTTATCTTGTTCCATGACTATAGCCATGCATGCCTGACAGACACTTTTCTTCGAGGGGGTGTGGTTTTGCCAAAATGAATAAACTGGACGATATTATGTCAAAAATAAGTAAGTGAGTAATTAAGTAAGTGAGTGACAACCGAAATGTTTATAAAAGAGTTATTGATCTTGTTGAAGCAACCTTTGAAAATTGATATACCCTGACACAAAGTGAGCTTGTTAAAAGATCCGGACTTGAAAAAAAAATCCTGGGGAGATCACTGCATAGTGAAACATCGTTGCCATATAACCATACAGAAAGTTCTAAAATTTTCTATGTAGACCCCTAGCCTAGGGGATATTATAGTGTAAACTGTAAACCCTAGGCTAAATAAAATAATTGAAAAAAAACTCAATTTGGTCTGTTTAAGTGACTAATAAAGATATATTATATCATAGGTGGACCCCCCAGACAATCAATGATGTCCAATTATAATTGCTTATATAGTATTTTAGATACCTTTGATATATCTTGAGACCAATGTGTATTATTGTCAATATTAATAATCAACAGAACAACCAACAGTCAGACTATTTGCTATATAGATAGATAAACAAAATAAGAACAGTCTGAACAGAATCAAAAGCCAAATCGATCAATCATATTCTTATATATTTTTCATAATGAAAAGAATTGTACCAACATGGAATCAAACCTGCGCCGTGGGTGTACTAGGCGAATGCCATAACCACGACTTCTTTCTCATAATTTCATACTCAAATTATTATCGCCTGCCGTAATGTTTTTGTGAATGTCAAATTTGTACAAAACAAAATCATCATACATTAAGATATTTTCAGCGTTAGCTAAACATTTATACGGTATGAAATATATAAAAACAATTATGAATCAGTTATTGAGGTTATTTTTCGCATATAAAACAACTCTTAATAACATATATTTTAATTCAATTCGCTCTAGCAATTTGATGTGTGTTCTATAGGGAAAACAGATAGTTCCGAAAAATTCGGAATATGAGAAAGCAGTTCCGAAAGTCTGTTTCCGAAGGTAAAATTGGACGGTTCAGACATTTATTCCGGTCCTTGACAGCCCTACCTCAAAATGACCGATTTTTAAAATCATCTACAAGTTCTCAGAAGTTCAAATCTGACTTTAGATTGAGCTCATGATATTGTGAGCAACTAGGTGGTGACATTTTGTCATTTTAATGCCTTGTTGTATATTTGCAGATCTTCTTATCAAATAGAATATACAAATTATATTTTCAGATTACTCCACCCCCTTCCACATACTTCTACACATTAAAGCATGTTTTGGAAAATAAAGGGTAGGGCAGTTTTCTTTGTAAATTTTTATCTAGTATAATAGATCAATGCATAGTACATAAATAGAACAAATGTTTTATAATTTTTTTGACTATTATGTCAGACATATGTATTTGTAATTATTTCTCTGTTACATAGTAATCTTATTTATATTTTATTACATTGCATTATATAATCATTTTTGTAGAAAAATAAACATAATATATGTGCTTTAGTTTTCTATTAATCTTACAGTAGCTTTTTAAATAACAACAATACTATTACAAACTCAATCCTGCTCATGAATTTAATTTTTTTTCAAATAGTTGTTGTGGTCAATAATACTACTATATGAATTATTTGAAAAGATTTTAATGAAGTCTTTCAATTAAATCATGTATTCTTCACATTATTGAACACCTCTTTTTCTTTTCTTTTTTCTTTATTACCTTTTGCGTATTAAGTGTAAAACTCAATTGACGTCTTGTTTCCATATCTAAGATTCTTTGAAAAATTTCTGTAACATTATGATTGTTCTTGGCAGAGGTTTCTAAATAGGCACAGTTCCATTTTTTTGCCATTTCTAAACCCTCCTCTTCAGAAATTTCTCGACAGTCTTTATCAGATTTATTCCCCACTAGAATTATGGGCACTTCACTAAGATTGTCTTTGATTTCACAAAGTTCTTCGTAAATTGGTACAAGCTCTTCTAATGATTGTTTTCTAATGACGGAGAAAACAAATATGAAGGCATGTCCTTTTGTCATCCAGAGTCTTTGCATAGCAGGAAATTGATACGCGCCTGTTGTATCTGTTATTAACATTGAGCAACCTCCTTCATTGCAGCAAATTGTTTTACGATACACGTCTTCGATCGTTGGAATGTACGTTTCCCGGAATCTGCCTTCAATAAAGCGAAGAAGAAGCGAACTTTTGCCAACGTTACTTGCTCCAAAGACAGCCATTCTGTAGTCCCTATTATCTTTTACAGGGCGCATCTTGAGAATTATTACTCAAACTATGCCAAAGTCTGCCAAAGGAAACAAAAAAGTAAGTAAGTTTCATACAGTCTAAGCTATTAGGCACTTTACCAAGAAATACTTTTAAATAGGCCTGTTGTTTGAAAATAAAACAACAATTAAACTTTCACCTTTTAAGTTTAATCATTTTTTGAATTTGGTTTAACAATGTCATTGAAGTGATTTTCCATTACAACTCTTAATATTAAATGTCATCTGCTTTAAATTCAAAAATGGCATTATTGTAAATTATATATATTGTATATTGTGTTTTTTTTTAATTAATTTTATTTGTCTTACCTTTGCCTTATCCACCAATTTGGAGTCTGTTATATGCTTAGATAGGTATCTGATGCTGTCTTATACTGAAGTAAAATATGAAGACTACTTTTTTTATTTTATATCAGAAATATTGTCCAAAAAATAAAAAATTGTTATATCATACACACTGTTGACCAATCAAAATTATTTGTCATAGACAGCGCAGATTATAGTGATAATTGTGATAATTATATAGATTGTAGCAAAATACGAAAATGACATTTCAATATTTCACTAGACCTATCAACTTAAACAACAATCCACTTACAGTGAAACCTGTCTAAGTGGAACACCTTTGGTTAGCTCTAGAAAGTGTTCCATTTCTGAGATTTTCCACTTTGCAGGTTTCAGTGGTATTGAGGTTCTATAGAGGCTATTTAACATGAAGTCAGTTTGTCTTGGTACTCTGAAGTCTTCCACTAACAGAGATGTTACACTTCTGAATGTGTTTAACTTTACATGTTTCAATGTACCTTGTTGTTCATGAAACATGTGATATGGTAACGCATGACTATATTATCACAAAAAATTAAATTTACACTTACCTCAGAAAATCTATTAAAAGTATAACAACGCCATCGAGGTTATGAATGTCGCTGCGTTTTTGCTTAAGAAGTTTGTGGAATTTCACCCATCGCGTTGGTTCAGTGTAAACTGAAACCCATTCTGTTTTATCATTTTCTTAAAAAACATAACAGGCTTTAACTAGTTTTGCCGTCTCTTTATTTGTATAAAAAGCAAATGTTAGTGGGTTATACAATATTTATGTTTTTACATAATTTCAAACAGGTTGATATAAGGATGTAATAAGGTATGTCTCTGTTAACGAGTACAGGTGGTCCAGGAAACTAATGAAATTGAACATTTTTTTAACCACAGATGTTCAAGGTAATAAGCTGTGGACTTGTTATCCCATCGAACGAAGTTCTGAGGGATATAGGAAACGCCTCCATCCGGGCAATAACTCAAATACCATTGGCAAGATTTTGTTCATATTTTGTACACGTATACCCTATGAGGGAAGAAGTTCTGCTCGAAAGCCGATTTTCAAAATGGCCACTTATTTAAAAATGGGGGCCATTTTAGTGCCAATTTTACAGTAATTTAGGTACGATATGTAAAACTGTAATAGCAATATGTTTTAAATGTAAAACATTGTATGGAACATTAATAAAGCTAGAAATATAGATAACGAAGAAGCACATGGTACCCATCTTAAAAAATGGCAACCTTTACACGCTATTTTACGATTTTTGCTGTAACTTTAAAAGTATTAAGGGATTGATTTTGTTCATAATTTGGTATGTGAAAACTATAAGGTGAGGCATCAAAAGTTCAATGTCGGATAGAAAACTAAATAAATCTAGTTAGGTGGGAGGGAGTTTCAGTTTGCTATCTGACAAATTTCAACATTTCAAATTTTTGGCAATTTCGACTCAGGATGCCTGATGCTTTCTTCATCAAGATCATTCCAATGGATTCTGTTCTATTATAGTTGTTAAAAGCCTCAAATTACAATAGGATTAACAAAAACTAGATTGTGTTTACATGTAGCAATAATTTTTCAAATTCTCAAACCGGAAGTCCGATATCAACTTTCATGGTATTTAGTTTTGGGGGGAGGGGGGGTCAGAATCAAAACTAGATTTATTTAGTTTCCGATCCGACATCAAACTTTTGATGCCTCCCCTAAGCATGGCACATTGTCTAATGACACTTTTGAAAATTTTAACGCTTTTACTATAACTCATAAAGTTGTGAGATTGATTTTGTTCATATTTGGTATGTGAATACTATAAGCATGGCATACTGTCTAATGATAATTTTTGGTAGAAGACGGCCATTTTTCAAAATGGCCACCATTTTTACGTTTTTTACTATAACTCATATTTGGTATGTGAATACTATAACCATATAACTATACATTTACAGCAGAACATCTGAGCTCAGCAGCAAGCAGGGGACTTGGTGGTCTTATTTCTAAATTCAGATCACACGAAGGACTATCATTCCAGACATTCAGCAAACTGTTTGACGCATGTGTATTACCCATTATGAACTATAGTGCTGGGATTTGGGGAGCGAAACCTTATAAAAAATGTGACAATATTCACCAATGCGCCATACGTGCATTTATGGGCGTTCATAGATATGCTTCAATTCCTGCTCTATATAGCGATTCTGGCTGGCTTACCCCGAAAGACACTAGAACACTAGATATTGTGCGTCTATGGAATAGATTCACATTCATGGAAAATAATAGACTCACCCAAAAAATATTTAATATATATAGGTTATTTACTGGGAGGGATTGAATATGGGATTTATTCCGAGGGACAATGTGATATTGACCGAAGGGTAATATGATATTGACCGAGGGAGCGCAGCGACCGAGTGTCAATATGATATTGCCCAAGGTCAGTATCATATTTTCCGCCCAAGGTCAATATCATATTTTTCGAGAAATAAAACCCATATTCAATCCCGACCAGAAATAACCCATTTATTCCATAATAAACATGTAATATTAAAAAAAAACGGGAAACCAAAAATAGGTTAATACGCTCCAATACGATTTTTCCTGGGGACAATACGATTTTTTCATGTAATACGCTCCAATACGATTTTTTTCCCGTTGACAATACGATTTTTCATGGAATACGATTCAATACAATTTTTATTCCTTCATAATGCCCTGGGAAAACAGTAGTATTATGGAATAATGACTATAATCAACCTAATGATATTGTTTAGATATAAAATCAATTTTCAATGAGTTAGGGATGAATGATTATTATAACCAGAAACAATATGTTAATATCAGCATTGTTAAGAGAAAACTAAAATTAAAATTACAAGAAAAATTATGTATAGACATTGAATCACAACCCAAATTGAGGACTTACCTAACTTTGAAACATGACTGTCCAATAGAACAATATTTACTTACATCATCATTGACAAGGGGTGAACGCTCTTTAATAGCTCAGTTAAGAACTGGTATACTTCCTTTAGCAATAGAAACAGGGAGATTTACCCAACCAAAAACCCCAGTAAACCAAAAACAGAAATTGGATTAACCTCATCATCATTCTTACTGTTGGGCATTATGTTCATAAATTGTATGAAATTCTTGATATTTCATAAAATCTCATGCTCTGACTCCTTTCAAATATTGATGTTCCAACCTATAAAGGCTCTAATATTATTCACATTTATGGAACCTAATCATTGTTTGTCTGTCGATTTGACCAGTCAGTGACGATATGTCTTCTCAATACAGATTTACATTACAGCGTATGTCCTCATTGAATCCTGGGGTTATTCCCCCCTGTTGAAAACTCAAATACATGTCAACGGATTTTGGTTCCCATTTTATATACTGATGCCCTCAAGACATAGGACTCTGCTTAAGAACCAAATTGACCACTGATTTCAAAATGGCCGCCATTATTTAAAAATTCTTTTTGGAAACTCAAATACTTTTTTTTGCTTCAGATTTTATATGCCAATGCCCTTTAGACAAAGAGCTGTGCATGACTTTTCAAGATATATTCGAAATGGCCACCAATTTTTAATACACACCATATTGGGTTGTTTGGTTGATATCGCAACCCAAAAGGTGTGCATTAAAGATTTACTTTCAAAATCTGCTTGGAACTGTACCATTGGATTACTTTGGGAAATTCCTCAAAGAGAAAATTCTAGGGATTAAGGAATGTGGACCATTTACACAATTTGAGAAATTATTGGCATACATGAAACCTATTTTAAACAGCATATTCAAAAGCGAATATGATCAATGATTCCAAGTCCTTTGAAGATTGAAAAATGAAAATACGTGTGTGATAATCCATAAATAATCCTTGAAAATGAGAAGTATTTTTGAAGATTATATGGAGCAATCTTATAGTCAATAAAATGTTTTAAAATGTATTGATGTTTTTTGGATGAAAAACATTAGCAAAATGCATGAAAAAGTCGCCCGATTCATTCTACAAACATCTCCCCCTCCTTTGTGTTTTAAAATATTTCTTACATCATAATTTCAATGAAGCAAAACATCAGTGGGTGTATAAATTTTCTCAGGACACAGTTTGCTGTATTGAGGACCCAGTTGACCAGTTGCTATATGTACTGATAAATAGATGGCAGCTCTTGTGTTGTTAGAACTACATGTATATTCAAGTATTCACAATGGAAAAAACCTTCAAGTCACTAAATTTCTTGATTTATCAAATATTTCCAATCATATTAATGTAAAACTTATTATCCCACCGAACAAAGTTCGAGGGGGATATAGGAAAGCTGCCCGTCTATTCGTCTGCCATCAGTCCGTACGTTCGTCCGTCTGTCCGGGAAATAACTCAAACACCAGTTGACGGATTTGATTAAAATTTTATAAGTTTATGCCTTATGGGGGTACGACCTCTGCTCAAGAAGGAATTTTCAATGTGGCCGCTTAATTAAAAAATGGCGACCATTTTCCACAAAAAATATAATCTTTGATAACTCCAATACTAATGGATGGATTTGGTTCAAATTTTATATGCTGTTGCCTGGGTACAAAGGAGCCTTGATCAAGAAGGCATTTTCAAGATGGCCACTATATTTCAAAATGGCCACCATTTTTCATAAAAAAACATTATCTTTGATAATTCAAATTCCATTGAAAAGGGAGATCTGCTTCAGAAGAAATCTCAAAGCCGTCAGCTGAATTTCAAAATGGCTGCCATTTTTCATAAAAAGGTAATTTTTGATAACTCAAATACCAGTGGATAGATGTACTTCAAATTTTATATACTGATGCCTAGAGGTATGGGAGCTCTGCTTGAGAGGTGGCTGCTATTTTTGAAAATCTCAGCCATTTTTCTTTAAACATGTAATCCTTGATAACTCAAGTACCTGTTGACAGATTTGGATTAAATTTTATATATCGATTGCTTGGGACATAGGAGCTCTGCTTAAAAAGAAATCTAAAGATGAAAGCTAAATTTCAAAATGGCAAACATGTTTCATAAAAACATAATCTTTGATAGCTCAAATACCAGTGGATGGATTTGCCTCAAATTTTGTATGGCCGCTATTTATCAAAACATGTTTTGTTCTGTGGGATTTGCTACTCCATGGAGTTGCTGTTTTTTGGCTCACACAGTGAGCCTATAGGATCGACCAGGCGTCCGTCTGTCTGTCCGTTGGTCCGTCCATTGGCCCGTCTGTTGGTCCGTCTGTTGGTCCGTCCATCCGTTGGTCCATCCGTCAACATTGGCCGCGCAAATTAAAACTGCTATTCGGATTGAGTCATATCCACATTCATTTTATGCATATCCATAATGCCTATTGGAACTATCATCGCCATTTCCCAAGTTCGCCCTGTTTCCGAGAAATTGCTGATTTTGACGTCAAAAAGTCAAATTTTCTGTAAATACTAGACACTTTGTTGAAGTAGAACTTTCAAATAACTTGTAGTAGTTGCTGTATATGCAATTTATGTTCTCTGAAGATTTCAAAACTCTTGAAATTACAGTTTTTGGTGTTTACTCTATAAAATTTGACAAAGAATAGGACTCATTTTCAGTTAACTTTCTCATGTATAAAGTCAATCATCGCCATTTCTCAAGTTCGCCCGGTTTCCGAGAAATTGCCGTTTTTGACGTCAAAAAGTCAAATTTTCTGTAAATATCAGACACTTTGTTGGAGTAGAACTTTCAAATAAGTGGCAGTAATTGCTGTATGTGCAACATATGTCCTCTGAAGATTTCAAAGCTCTGGGAATTACAGTTTTTGGTGTTTACTCTATAAAATTTGACAAAAAGAAGAACTCATTTTTAGGGAACTTTCTCATGTATAAAGTCAATCATCATTGGCTGCTCAAATTAAAACTGCTATTCGTATTGAGTCATATTCACATTCATTTTATGCATATCCATAATGCCTGTTTGACCTATCATCGCCATTTTTCAAGTTCGCCCGGTTTCCAAGAAATGGCAGATTTTGACGTCAAAAAGTCAAATTTTCTGTAAATATCAGACACTTTGTTGAAGTAGCACTTTCAATAAAGTGGTAGTAGTTGCTGTATGTGCAACATATATCCTCTGAAAATTTCAAAGCTCTGGGAATTACAGTTTTTGGTGTTTACTCTATAATTTTGACAAAAAGTAGGACTCATTTTCAGGGAACTTTCTCATGTATAAAGTCAATCATCATTGGCTGCACAAATTAAAACTGCTATTCATATTGAGTCATATTCACATTCATTTTATGCATATCCATAATGCCTGTTTGACCTATCATCGCCATTTCTCAAGTTCGCCCGGTTTCCAAGAAATGGCCGATTTTGACGTCAAAAAGTCAAATTTTCTGTAAATATCAGACACTTTGTTGAAGTAGCACTTTCAAAAAAGTGGTAGTAGTTGCTGTATGTGCAACATATATCCTCTGAAAATTTCAAAGCTCTGGGAATTACAGTTTTTGGTGTTTACTCTATAATTTTGACAAAAAGTAGGACTCCTTTTCAGGGAACTTTCTCATGTATAAAGTCAATCATCATTGGCTGCACAAATTAAAACTGCTATTCATATTGAGTCATATTCACATTCATTTTATGCATATCCAGTACTGTCAACCCCTAAAGATTTTCTCGAGGGACAGATTTTTTAGACCCAGTGCCCAAAATTCGCGGGATTTTGCGGGACATCTACTAAATTCACGGGATTTTGCGGGACATCTACTAAATTCGCGGGATTTTGCGGGACATTTAAGGGATTTGCGTGATTGCGCTAATAGGAGATTTTTTTTATCAAATTCGCGGGATTTCGCGGGACCATTCGAGGGACAAACACCCTAATTGCGGGACAGTTAACAGGTGTACCACCAAAAACTTCATAGAGGGACAGATTTTTTAGACAAAGTGCCCTAAATTTGTGGGATTTCGCGGGACATCCACCTAAATTTGCAGGATGTCCCGGGACATTCAAGGGATTTGCGTGATTGGGACTAATGTAAAAGCGTGTAG